TTTTTTTATACAAATACATAAATACGCAAATAATGCCTAAATGTCTTTGTTCAAAATGCCAACCGATAGGTGGCAAGCCCTTATCTTGGAGAACTTGGCGACAACATCAAAAGAATAAAAATACTCGCAATATGTTAACAAATTCGCCATCTAACCCTATTCGGCCTATTTCAGCTTCTTCAACAAGTCAAAACCTTATAACTCTCAATACGCTGAATCCTTATTCAGATTTAAATGATGATTGTGAAAATGAAACAGATTCTTTTGACAATGTGAATGAAATGGATTTCTTCGACGATGAAAATGAAATGAATTTCGATGTTATACGGATAAATCAACTTGAAAAAAACAACATAAATATAGCAGAATCGTCATCGGTAGAAAATATCACACTATCTCAAGAATTTATTGAGGTATTAAACGTAATTTATTTTTTTAAATATTTAAAGAATTTTTGTTAATTAATATCAATAAACAGCTAGCAACAAATAGGAGTTCGTATTACAAATCGAACAAATTACCATTAATGCAACCAAACAATTTGCCAATGGATAATTTTGATCAAAATGAATTTGATAGTAATTCTGATCAAAGCGAGCATGACAGTAATTCTAATCAAAGCGAAGATAATGATTCTGAACAAAGTGAACATGATGTTAATCAAGATATCGATGAAAAATTTGATATTGATGAGGAAACTGACGAAGATTGTGATAGAATTATGCCGTCTTCATCACTATTAAGTATTGATAATTCGGATATCTTCCCAGAATCGTCGTATAATCCAGTACGATTTTTATATAATCCTCCACTTTTGAAAGAAAATTACGTAACACAATGGATTGTTCTCTGGTTATTTTTGTTTCAGCGATTATTTATGATTACCAAGACCGGAATTATGACACTCTTTGTTTTTTTTAGTCAAGTTTTAGCATTTTTAGATGCAGTTAGATTTCAAAATTTTCCAAGTAGTCAGCATTACGTTGAAAAAATGATTGCACAGCCTGAATCGATTATCAAATATATTGTGTGCTTACATTGTCATTCTCTTTACTTACCTACGGATTTGCCTTTAAAGACTTCAGAGCATACCAAATGTCTTACATGTGAAAAAGTTTTAACAAAAGCTATTAGAAGATCATGTGGAAAACTTCAATATAAAGTTAAGTTACTCTGTTTAAAAGTTATTTTTCTTTTTTTTTAATAATTATAATCTAACATTTTTACTTTTATATTAGCCTTTAGTAATTTACCCTTACCAATCTATTATTACAAGAATCGCATCAATATTAGCGGATGAGTCAAATGAAAGGTTAATGAATTCACCATATGAACGACAAGTCAAAGACAGCGTATTAGGTGATATTTACGATGGAAAAATTTGGAAAGAATTTTTAGATGAGGAAGGACATCCATTCTTTGTAGGAGATAATGCTGACGTTAGAATTGGATTGGCACTTAACGTTGATTGGTATACTCCATATAGTCATGTCAAACGAAGCTGCGCACCAATATATATGACGATTCTCAATTTTCCAAGACATATTAGATATCGAAATGAAAATCTTATTCTTGTTGGCATTATATCCGGCCCAAAGGAACCAAATACAAAGCAACTACAAAATTATCTTCAGCCAATGGTTAATGAGCTAAAGCAACTTTGGAGCGGTCAAATATTTAAAACTACTCAATATCCCATCGGGCGTATGTTTTGCTGTGCATTAGTTCAAATTGCATGTGACATACCAGCTGCACGTAAGGTATATCATAATGATAATAATAATAATTATAATGTTTTGTAATTATTTAACAAAAACCAAGCTCAATTTTATGAATTAATTACTTGGTTTTGTCAATTATTTATGCTATTTATATAGGTTACAGGACTAGCTTCACATTCTTCAAAACATGCTTGTAGCAAGT